AAAGTTTTTAAGTTATTTTCATTAGTTTTTCTTTTAAAAAATTATCAAATACACGCCACTATCCTCCACCCCTGCCACCGTAGCCTTCCATCATATTTTAGGGTATGTTATTTATTTGTTACATTCTCCACCCTTTTTAATTTTAGGCTGTTTGACCAAATGAATTGATGGGGCTATGTATGTTCGTTTGTTCTCGTACATGATCATGAAATGAGGAATAGATCAAGAGTAAGTAATATAAATCTAAATTGGTCTCGTACATAAACATGAAAGGAGGAATAGATCAATAATATAATTCTCAGTAACATTGCTGCCCCTTTGTTTTGTGGAATGCTTGTTGGCTCTAAAGATGAGAGAGATTTTTCAATGCACTTGGAATATGGAGCGTGATTGCTTACAAGTAACTCCCGAAAGAAAATGCCTAAATCTACCACTGGTCTTAACTGCTAGCCAATCCCATTCTTACGCAAGATTGAAAATATCAAAGAGCCTTAAGAACAATAATATTTCCAAGGACTTTGTAGTTCAAATTGTTTAAAACCATGTATTTTCTTTATATCATTGAGAACAAGAAAAAGTGTACACGAAACAAAAATAGTTTTTAACATACACTTGTACTCGCATGTGTATTATATACGTGGATGTGGTTACTCAGTACGACTATTTAATAATGTTTTATTCATTTGTAAACGAGTGATAAGTCTTGACTTTTATAGCGTCGAGTTTGATAATAATTTATTTTTTCATTCTCTTAATGTACAAATACAAATATGTTACAAAAAAAATTGTGCAAAGAGCAACACACTATCCAAAAAGGAAATTAATACTAAATAAAGTTGAATCGAATGAATTGTAGAAAATCAATAGCCAAAAGTTAACAAGGATGTGTGAGACGTAAAGATGGATGTGTAAATAGCACTATCCATTTTCTATTATTCACACGTACTTCTAAATCTCAATCCAGAATATCACTAACTAAATTAGATGGACTAAATTTTTTTTCTTATACTCAAAACATAAATCAATAAACCATATGTTATAATAATACGTAATGTACTAACTCATGTTTCGAGTAAACCAAAAAATCTCAGTCTTACATCTATTCAATATATGTCGCAATTAGACAAAGTTGTTATAACTACTACATTGATAATCAAAAGCATCACATCTTCCCCTATATAAAAGAAAAAAACAGTCAGAAATATATAAGCAAACAGCACTCATCGATACACCAACCATGTTATTTCTTCCAACCAAACTAGCAGTGGTGGCCTTTGCGTCTAGATCAAGCCTCCAACCCATCTTGCTTCACTTCTAAGATGAATATTTCAACCAAACTAGCAGTGGTGGCAAGATAATAACTAATCATTGCATCTCTCTCTCTCTCTCTCTCTCTCTCTCTCTCTCTCTCTCTCTCTCTCTCTCTCTCTCTCTCTCTCTCTCTCTCTCTCTTCCACTACTACGATCTAGTGGTATTCCTCTTCATTTAGAAGTGAGAGATCTTAGATTCGAACATCGTGGATGATGAATTCGATACAAAATTAGGTTGCCTATTATGTGACTTAACCGAACTCCCCCTCTCCTTAGTGTAAAAATATCAACGTACTAAAAAAAATGCTACTCCTACTACATATTTGTACTATTTAATCTAATAGAATTAGGACTCACATGTGTTGGTGAGCCCTACCTCTATTAGAAATCTGTACAAATGATGACACAAATATGTGATAAATTTAGCATTACTCTTTCAAAAGACGGTACGTAATACATATATGACCCGGGTCCATTCATGCAATTATATCCATGATTATTGACTCTAGAAATTTTTCTTCACAAAAGTTATGGAATTATAAAAGAATAAACTACTTGAAAGACTTGGAAAGTGTTTTATGAAGAAGTATTTATCAATTACTTTAAGAAAAAAATTATCATAAATTCATTTTTTTAATAATCTCGAACTAAAAATTTAACCCATAAGAGTTAGAGGAGAAAAACTATTTTTGGGTTAAAACCTATATTTTCTGGGTTTAAAATTTTAGGTTTTAGAATCTCACTTAATTATTGACAAAAAAAAAATATTTGGTATGAGAAAAAAAATTAAAAACTAAAATTTTCAAATTTTGAAACTAGACAAAATAACTTTCAATTTTTTTTTATTTTTTATTTTTAATTGAGGCTAAAAATTTAACCCATAAGAGTTAGAGGAGAAAAACTATTTTTGGGTTAAAACCTATATTTTCTGGGTTTAAAATTTTAGGTTTTAGAATCTCACTTAATTATTGACAAAAAAAAAATATTTGGTATGAGAAAAAAAATTAAAAACTAAAATTTTCAAATTTTGAAACTAGACAAAATAACTTTCAATTTATTTTTTATTTTTTATTTTTAATTGAAAATTAAAAACAAAATTGTTTGTTTGTTTTATATAGTGGATGTGAAGTTTTTTTTTTTAATATATCGATATTTTTTACACTAAGAAAATGAAGAGTTCGGTTAAATCATATAATGAGCAACATAATTTAGTTTGAGGAACATCTTTGAAGGTACACACTACGTTACCTTGGATCTGCTAATATGCATCATTACATCTGTTGATGGGTGCAAAGAGACAAGTAATTCTCAAGTAGCAGGGTGCCACTGTCATTTGAAGATATTTCTTAAAAAGATTATTCAAATATCGTTTAGATATCTAAATATCTCTACTAATTAATAAAACATGCATTGTTCATCAAAATCTTATTAAATTATCATATTAGCTTTCTAATTAAAACAGAACATGAATAAGAAATATGAGGCAGAAATTTAATTTCACACAACCAAATTTTATTGTTTTTTTAAAGCATCACTTACATGTAATTCTAACATATCTCTAATTAAAAAAAAAATCTCACTCCCACATTCTCTATCACTCTCTTCCTCTCTCATTCTATTTCAAAAACAAGAATAAAAAATTTTCTCACACACTTTATGTGTGCCTATATGCTAGTATTAAAAAAAAAATGATATACGTATTGAGTAATATATCAATGATAAAATGTTGATTTGTTTGATAAATTTAAATGATTAACGATAACGGATTCAAAAAGTTTTTTAAATGTAGATATGCAAAGTATTATTCTTAATTTAATGTATACCAACTTTTATTTTTTGGCTGAAGTATACTTACTTGCTAACCTTTCCTTGAAAAGCAGAAACAAACAATATAGCTCCCTCCTCCCCCTCTCTTTCTTCCCCACCACTTCCCCACCTTCAGCAACACAACCTCAGACAGCCATATCAATTTTATCTCCTCCAACAACCACCCCCACCCCCCCGGCGCCTCCTCTCTCATATCAAGCACCATGAGGTCCAAACTTCAATGTGGCATCAATCTGAAGGTCATCCTCTTCTGCTGCTTCTTCATCTTCCTCCTCACCATCTTCATAACCAGATCAACCTTCTCTTCATCATCACCACCATCTTCATCCACCAATTCCTCGCAATCCCATCTCATCTCAACCTCTAAACCCCAACAACAACAACCGTGCGATCAGCCCTTCATCCCAACATGCACCAAAACCCCACCATCCCTCGCCCACGCCATCATCCACTACGCAACCACAAACGTCACCCCACAACAAACCATGAAAGAAGTCTCCGTCTCCGCCGCGGTCCTTTCCCAAAAATCACCCTGCAACTTTCTAGTCTTCGGCCTCGGCTTTGACAGCCTCATGTGGACGGCTCTCAACCACGGCGGAAGAACCATCTTCCTCGAAGAAGACAATTCATGGATCGACCAGATCAAACAGAAGCTGCCGGGGTTGGAGGCCTACCACGTGAAGTACGACACCAAGGTTCACCAAGCGGACAAGCTCATGGAGATGGGAAGGAAGGAAGAGTGCAGGGCTGTCGGGGATCCAAGGTTTTCAAAGTGCGAGTTGGCGCTCAAGAACTTGCCGAGCGATGTGTACGATATAGAGTGGGATTTGATCATGGTGGATGCGCCGACGGGGTACTTCGACGGAGCTCCGGGAAGAATGAGCGCCATATACACGGCGGGGCTGCTGGGGAGGAACAGGGAGGAGGGGGAAGCTCATGTGTTTGTGCATGATGTGGATAGAGTGGTTGAGGACAGCTTCTCCAAGGCATTTCTCTGTGAGGGGTACTTGACGGAGCAGGAGGGCAGGATCAGGCACTTCACTATTCCCAGTCACAGGGCTCGATTAGGTAGACCGTTCTGCCCTTAGATGATGATCTTCCTCGAACAAACCTCTCACAAAGTTACTAGTGTTCTTCTTTTTAAATATTTTTGTCTTAAATTAATGCAAAACAAAAAGTAGGGAAAAGGATTCTCTTCTAATCTCTTCCACCAAAGAGATAATCAAGTGATCCGAATTTTTGAAATTTAATTCAATTGCTAAAAACAGAAGCTTATTAAAAGTAATAATAACTTTAGTTGTTGGATTAAATTTTAAAAGTCCGGATCATTTGATTAGATAACCTTGGTGAAAAAGATTGGAATAAATAATCAAACGAAAACAATGATCAAATTAAATAAGAGTGTGTAAGAGAGACTAAAAATAAGTGTTTATCATTACTATTTTTTTCTTCGTAAAAATCTGTATTTTAAGAGATGCGAATTAGTCCATTTGATCGGCAGTGCCGCTTGCACCGGTGTTTAAATCCTTCCCTTATAGATTAAAGTAATTTTATTAAATAGATAATAAAATAAAAAGTATAAAATGTTGCCTTATGTTGGACTGTGAGCGTCAATTTACCACCAAACTATTTTGTTAATTTACTCCATGAACTATTTTGAATTGGCCAATTTGACCCCTATCCTTAAGTTTTTGGATCTCCATCTAAGATAATAAAAGTAAAGGTAAATATATCATTTAAAACGGGGTGTCATTAAATAAGGATAAATAAAAAACAAAAGGTTCCAACCAAAAAAGGGTGGTGTAAAAATAATATCTGGGAGACTAGAGAGAGGGAGGGAAATAACGTCGAAAAGAGAAGAGTTTGAGGAATTCTGTGTGGGAAATTTCATATTTCCGCTACATATTTCTTAATTCGCTCAAATGTGTTAGGAAATCCCCTAATTTCTGGCGAGGAACGTATCAAGAAGCAACCTCTTTAACTCAGCAATTCTATGGCCTCAGTATTGAGGAGTCCAAAAATAAAACTTTCTAATATGCCTAATCACACCTAAAATAAATGAAAACAAAAATCGTAACAACAAACAACTCGGTGCAGTTTTCCAATCCAGCAATTCTACAGTGACCAAGGCCGAAGATCGAGCCCAAATCTAACTTGATCATAGAAGTCAGGATTTTATACGCCAAAACATATAACCACAAAGAGTTCCGGCGCTCTGTATGCTTGGTATTTACTTCGTAACAAAATTCTGGATTGCGCAACCTGCATGAGCTTCCTCAAACAAATTTCACAACATCTGTAACGTGAAGGGACAAGGAAGATGACTCCATCGAGATTTCCAGCGATGGGTTTGAGTCCCAGATAACACCGTTATCGGAATCTCAGCACACCTTGTAGCTTCAGTTTGACCAATGAATTCCATGCTACACGGTTAAAACTGCAGTCATAGGAAAGGGAGGGGAATTATATGAAAATGATTACAAGAAAATGGAACGCTATGGACAGAAAACTCTTAGCACACAGAATAGTGAATTCTTGAAGCCATTGTAGTCAATTTCTTCACATGATTTAATTTCATACCACACCAAAGCTTGAATTCCAACTGAATTATAAAGAGGAGTACCAGTCGGGGGTAGATAAGAAACAATGATGAAATGTTGGTGACAATATGTGGCTTTTGTTCTTGCTAATGAGCATCGAGTATCATAAGCATCAAAAGAAAAAGTATAAGAGACTTGCAAAATGCAAGCAAGACTTACGTTACGTATACTTCAGCATGGCACTTAGTGAAATATGATGGCTATCAAGGCATTTTATCGCATCCCAAACCATTTGAATTATAACTAAATCTGGGTTTACAATAAGAGAAATGCCATTTTCTCTTTGGTTGATAATACACCACACGGGACAAATCCTCAAGAATTGTACCGTATGGTTTCACAAAGGGATTTGGACAAACAGAAGAATAGCTACCTAATTTCCAATTGGATTGTCCCTCAAACTGATTCGCAAGCAGCATCAATTTGAAATTCACATAATTTCTCTCCTTTTCTTTTGTCAAGAAATTGGCATAAAGTTTGACTAAGTAGAAAACCTAGGAAAAGCGATGAAACAAAGTGTTCTTCAACTGACACAACAAATTAAAGAAAACGTTTTTTTTTTTTTTTTTCAAAAGTATATATGCTCCACATCGTGCAAACAATCAGGAAGACGCACAACTGACCATGATCGTACAGACATTCCTTTTTTCCAAATGGCAGCAACAACCAAAAAAGTGCAATCAAGTGGCACCAACAACCAAAGTAATCAGAGCATCTCCAATGGGAGAGGTAAAATGATTGAAATGTGTGTTTTATAGCTTTAAAATCAAATTCCAACTCCAGCACACCAGAAATTTGAAATACCAAATTTAAATCGGTAGTCGTTACTATTATAAAAAGTCTAGTCCTGTAGGTCTAGTTAGGCTGGATGTATTTTATTTGAAGTATTATCAGTTTCTAAAATCGACGAAAGGCACGTTTGATTTCCCTTTAGAAATCTAGGCCCTAACGGGGATTGGAGTGATTCTCACCTAGCTAATAAGGTTTAACTCACACCCTATAAGTTGGGTTTCTTATCTATCAGATTCTGTTTACATCATTAATTAATTAGCTTTACTGTATTTATGTTGTTTAACTATGATAAAGGTAAAATAACAATTCCTGATGTATATTTCAGTTCCAAGAATCAAATGAAATCCTTTTGAATACCTACTTGTAAGATGTGGCAGATCTGCTCAGGATTTCCCGATTCTAGTTTCCCAGCTAACTAATCCTGCACATACATAATCAAAAGAAATCATCAACCAAGGTTCATTATACATCACCTAATTTGAGATTTTTCTCTCTCCAGAACAACATTTAGAATTTGCAAAGATGCATGCTGCCCTATTGCCAAAACCCCGACATTCTTTTTCCTCCTTCTAACCCTACCCGTACCCCTAAATCTACTAGACCGTATCCTTTAAAAATAAAAAAACTAAACCAACAATGCATAAATGAATAAACACGCATATGTTACTTTATATAGCATTTACGGACAAGACAGGAGGAGGAAAATCTAGAATGTAATAAAAACATGATATCCGTAGGCACTGAATCCTTTGTGGCATAAACAGTTCATTCTACAGAACTGGACAACCAAAGACTACAAGACTTACATAAGGTAGAACAAGCAGCAGGTTTATCCGGGCACTGGAGGTCTCTCGTGGGACAATTTAAGCTCTGGATGAGAGTTACTAAGTTTCACCAATAGCTCATTGCAGGTAATGCTTGCTCCTTTTGATGTTTCTTGGGAAAAAGTTGGGAGAATCTTCATCACATCAACATCGTCTGAGATTTCACAAAGGCATTCCAAGATGGTAGAAGTTATTTCTGAGTCGAGAACAACACCCTTGTCTGCCATCTGATGAAGCAAATTAACGATTTCTTCTGTTTCACCCTTTAAACAATAGCCCTTTAGTAAAGAATCGAAAACAAAGGCATCAGGTTCAACACCACAATCAATCATCTTCTTGAGAACCATTTTAGCCTCATCCAAAAGCCCAAGTTTCGAGAACCGGCTTACTACTATGGAAAAGGTAAACGCATCAGGAGTTAAATCCATTTTACACATGTCCTGCAGCAAGCCTTTAGCAGATTCAACATCTCCTGCTTTTAGAGTTCCATCAATTATTGTATTAAACGAGACCAGATTTGGCACACAATTTGTACGCCTCATCTCATCAAATAGCATCCTAGCTTGCTCCACACTACTCTCCTTGCACAAGGATAGCATCAAAATGTTGTAGTCAATCAAAGTAGGACTAACCCCAGAAGCTCTCATTTGACTAAAGAGTCCTTTTGCAAACCTAAGCATATGAGTCTTACAAAATCCACTGATCAAGACACCATAAGTAATTTCATTCGGAACCAATCTCAAGTCAAGTGCACGTCTCCAGAATTTGATGGCCTCGCCCACAAATCCTTCCTCTAGACATGCACCTATCAAAGCATTATAAGTAACTAAGTTACCTGCAATGCCCCTTTCAACCATAGTATTATAAATATCCATAGCTTTATCAAGGTTGCCTTCCTTGCAGAGTCCAATAATTAGCATGTTATATGTGATAACATCTGGCTCAAGAAAGTTCTCATCTTTTGATATCATACTGAAAAGTTCCATTGCCTCATCTACCTTCCCGCGACAAGAAAGCCCCATCAGTAACACGTTGTATGTAATTACATCAGGCTGTTTACCCTTACCCTTCATCATTTCAAAAATCTTAAAAGCCTCATCCACCAAGCCTTGCTTGCACAGTCCATCAATCATAACATTGTATGTTACAGTGTTAGGCTCTTCACCCCTCGATAGTATTAGACTGAATAGCTCCATGGCTTTTGTAGCCCTTCCACTTTTGAAAAGCCCGTCAAGTAAGCCTGTATAAGTAATAACATCAGGGAGAACTCCACACTCTATCATATCATTTAACATCGCGGTGGCTTCTTTCCATTTCCCTATCTTGGAGAGATTATTTATGAAACAACTATATGTAACCACATTCGGAGGAATACCCTTCTTTAACATCTCATCAAAAATTTCTTTGGCTCTATCGAAACGCCCTTTATCACAAAAAGCACTTATAATGGTACTGTACACTACAACATCCGCTTCCAAACCCTTCTGCCTCAATTCCTCCAACAACCCCATCGCCTCATCCACTCGACCATCCTTGCAGAATCCGTTGATCAAAGTGCTGTATGTCGTCACATTCGGCTCAGAACCAAACAACTCCATATCAACCAACAACTCAGTTGCTTCTTTCAATTTTTTCACCCTGCAAAGTCCGTTTATAAGAATGTTGTAACTAACAATATCCGGGGTTACATAATTTCTTCCCGTTACACGAAACAACTCAATCGCCTTGTCAACCTCATCGTTAGCGCACAAACCCTTCAATGTAAGATTCAGAACAAACGCATTTAACTGAAATCCACGCCTTAACAACAATCCCAACACCCCGGGAGCGAATTCGGGGTGATGGGAGTTAACAAAACAAGCTACTAAACAACTCAATGATATAAAACTCGGACGAAGACCAACATTGGTCATCTTACTATAAACCGAAAACGCCAATTCATAATTTTTCGACTTTGTGAGAGTGTGCACGAGCAAATTACAGGCTGCCCCAGAAGGCAAGCGGTTCGTATCGACGGCGCGGAGGAAACCCGAAACCGCCTCCGAAACCTGAGGGTCGGACTTGTCACAGAGAAACCTCAATTGGGTTTCGATATCAGAGGTAGAAGTGATAGATGGGAGTGAAGAGAAGTGCTTTGAGTAAACGCAGAAGCCATGGGAGGGGAAGTTACAGCTAGGGTGCAGTTTAAGAAGTTGCTTTATCATCATTTTGAATACGTAACTCTGAGGATTGGTGACGATGGTACCTTAACCTCCGCCTCCGCCTCCGCCTCTGCCTCCGCCGCCGCTGCACACCAAAAATGTTGTTGTTGATGGAGTTAAGGCAAGCATGCCGAGCTCTTGTGAGAGAGAGAAACGTTGAAAAGTTGGACATTTTTTGTCTCTGATTTTTGTTGTTGAGTGGAGCAGGGCTTGTGAGTTTTTGGGTGGGCTTTCATACAGAACGATTGGGCCTTCTTTGGGCTGGGCTTTTGACGCATAGGAGCAGCTGCAGAATTAGGATTAAAACCTTTTATTGGTGTGATTTTCTCTATCTTAACCTTTCCTGTTATCTATCTATCTATCCATATGGTTAAATTTTCCTGTAACTCCAAAAATAAAAATCAATTGTCAAAAGTGGGGGTGTTTTTGTAAAACTATACTTTGTATAAATTTAAGAATTTTAGAGAGAAAAAGAAGTGGCATGTTCTCTTTTTCATTTAAGTTTTAGCGTCCGCTTGAAAGTAAGAGATTTTAAGTTCAAATTTTATGGATGGTGAATTCGATACCAAATTAGGTTGTCTATTATATGGTTTATCCGAACTCTCCCTCTCCTTAATGTAAAATATTGATGTACTTAAAAAAAAAATCAGTGTTTGCAAATAAAGAGGAGCGATTTCATTTGATTAACAATTTCATTGAGTCTTCCTAGATAATTTCACACCAACTTCAAAGCCTCATTGTGCATAGCTCCATAGACAAAAAGGATATGAAGATGTTTTTCATCTTCTTCCCTACCCAAAAATGGAAATTTTCTCGACCAAAGATAGGAGTTTGGAGACTTGTAGAACCACTTGAGTTGTTGGATCTTGCCATGGCTATTTGGTGTTTGTGTTTACGTTTTACTCACTCACTTCTCTCACACAATATGCCTAATTAAAGCACACGTCACTACCATTATATATTATTTTTCTTTAACAGAACTGTTATATAGCATAAATTTAAACTAAATTTGAAGAGTCATTTTGTTAAGTTATGCTAAAAGTTAAAGTTAGACACTCACTTGAAGATGACTTTTATGAGTTTGGCTCTTTAAACTAGCGTTCCAATAGATTTAAAGAATCTCTTGAAGATGATCTTATTTAGACACTTTTAAACTCCTTAAAGCTTTAAAAGTTTTATGTACAATGTAAGCCACCCGATTATATTATATATCAAACGAAAACTACACCAGTGTGAACTTAACCTTGTTTATAAGTGTTTTTAAAATGATTGAAAACACTTTTAGAGAAAATAATTTTGGTTTTGAAAACACTTGACGCTTTTAGAAAATAGTTTTGGGTTTCAAAAGCTTCTAGTGCTTCTTTTAGGAAACAATTTAAGTACTTCTTTATAATTCACTTGTGTTTTTACTAAAGATTAATTTAAAAAAAAAACTCACCAAAAGAACACATTTAGTTATTTTAAAAGCATTTAGGCCATCTCCAACCGAAGACTGGTTAGAGGGCTCGTTTTAACCCTCTGGCCCTCCAAGAAATTAATATTTTAATGAACAGTGCAGAGCCATATTTCTTACCATCTCCAACCGAGGGCCATAGGGCCAAATATAATTTATTATTTAAATTTAAAAACTACAACAAATTAAATATTTAAAATAAATTGTGAAAGGATCATGCTTATGAAAAGAACTACAGCTACAACTACACCCATTATAATTATCCCACATCGACCGTGGGAGATGGATGACGTAGGAAACATACATATAAAAATGAACACCCCAACTTGACCAAATCACCTTTCTCGGACCAAAAAATCTAAACCCATAATTAAATAATTTTTAGAAAATTTTGGCCCCGAAAAAAAAAAATTAATTAATATGACTTTAGCATGTGGCTTGGCCCGGCGCTGGCTGGTTTGGGTTGGCCCTTTGGTTATTTTTTGTGCAGTGGGGCTCACGAGCCCTTTGACCAGTTGGAAACAATTTTCGAACTATTTTTTACCATCTGAACTTTTTGGTTGGAGATGACCTTGTAGATGGGAGTCCTTGCCCCCAAATTTTGACATAAAAATAAAAAGGGAGTTTTAACGAAAAGTTCACGGTACTGTTCACTTTAACGAAAAACCACATTTTTACACTAAAAAATCAAACCTGGTACTATTCATTTTACCTTTTATTTTATCCTTACCATTAAAACTCAAAGTTTTCAATCACTCTTCGTTAGTTTCCTAAATAAAAAAGGAACCACCATTAGCCGCCGCTAAGACGAGTACAAGGTATTCTTAGTGGTCGAACAGAGCGCAACTCCACCCACATACAAACGCGACCCCTATCCAAAACACACGCTCCCTCTCCTCTTCCATTAATCAAAGTCTTCTCCTTCCCCTCAGGCTCTCCGCCAAGGCAGTACAGAGAGAGTGCCGACCATGTCTAAGACGAAGAAGCAATTGATGTCATCAGCTCCGTGGAGGGTGGAAGAAGAGGCGGAAGCTGAATTCCCAGAAGGGAAGCTGAAAGTGACGAGCCAGCCAGGGTCGACTCCAACCATGCACGTCCCTCGCAAGAAAAACAAGCGCTCTCAAGACCAAGACGATCAAGATTCTCTTACTGAGATTGACCCTGAGCTCCGATACAGCTTCGAGCGCAACTTTCAGGTCCGTTCAAGTTTACCCAATTCCCAATTTCATCAATACTCAAACTGTCTGTTAATTTGGTTGGTTTTTTTTATTTCTTTGCTTTGAATTAGGGACAGAAAAATGTATTATTTGAAATTTGTTTCGGTAATCTGAAATTTTCAATTTTGTAGTTATTTCTGAAACCTTTTAGTTTTCTACTTTTCTGGGTTGTGCGTGATTATTGTGTGCTGCCTATTTTTATTTTTATTTTTATTCGAGAGATATTGAGGGGAGCGGTGGCGCAATGGAAATGTTGCTTCTTTGTGACCAAAACACACGGGTTAGAGTCGTGTAAACACCCTCTTTACAAAGCAAGAGTAAGGCTTTGTCCGATAGACGTTCCCCCCACTCTCGCAAAATAGGGAGCCTCGTTGGTTTGGGGTTGCCTTTTTATCGAGTGATATCCTAAATTGGTCTAATTTAAACTACGGGAGGGGGATTCGCTACTGTAGTGGCTACGCCCAGGTCCGCGCCTGCCGCTTTGTTTGTACATAAATTTGGTTGTCAGTAGTTTACAATTCAGGTCTTGGGTTATTCTATAACCAGCCGTTGTGTTACGATCTTTCTGTACCTAATGCATGAGGATTTGTGCGTATTAGAGTCGTAATGTTATTGATAAATTTTGAAGTTGTAAGCTTCAAATGCTTCAGGTATGCAGGAGGTGTATTAGAAGAATCGAGTCTCGTGTTGCAAATCTTGAAGTGGGCAGGATTGCGTATCTTTCCTAGATTAAAGACTTAGCTCATAGCTCATTAAGACATTCTGTCATTATAGATATATAATAATAATAGTACTACCAGGACGTTTTAGCCCAAAAAAATAATATCGGCAGTTTGAGGAACTTTATTTACATATATTCACATGAAATGAGTCCTATTATGTTTGAATTTGTTGGCTCTCATGCTGCAAGCCTGCACCACATGCTTAAGAGTGGATGGTAGGGACTATTAACCGAAACATGAATGCCGAAACCAGATTTCAGTAAACCCTTCTGGTAGTGTTTCAGAAACGTTGTTTTTTTGTTCCTATTTAGTTGCAATTAGTGAAGGAGCACAAGCTCTAGATAAATCTGGAAGCGAGCCATGGCAATAGAATATGAGTAGGATGGTAAAAAACTTGGACTCGTTGGAACAAACTTGCTATTAGTCTAGCAGCTTTTCTCTCCACTTTGGTAGAAGAGGTCCCCAGTTCAAATTCTCCTTCCCCCACATTAGGCCCAAAAATGACTTTGTCAGTGTTTCGCGTCTATTTCAGTAATTTAAAATACAGTCTAAGAAACTGTGGATTCTGTATTAAATTGACTATCTAGCAGCTGCTCAGTTATGTGTTTTAGATTATCTGCCTTTACATCAATATTTTCTTGGTTCTCTATGTTTGATCTCTTAGACATAATTTCCATGGTTCCATCTTACTCTTCTTTATATCTTATTAGTTTGCAATATGAATCTGTTCTTTGACAAGTTTGCATGACAAACTCGGTTTGCAGTTCCTTCAACGGGTGTTTAGCATTGACACTGTCGTGAAACCTCTTCCGCCTGCCATGGCATACAATGTCTCCCGCAACTTGAACTTCTTCACTCGTATCTTCACACAGTTCTTTGGTACGTATATCTGCTTCACCGTGTGGATCCCAAGTTGATGAAGCATTAAGCAAAGATAACAAAAAGTTCGACTCATAATTTGGTTCAGTAGTGGCAATGAGGTGGCAGCTATGTTTATATACTACTAGTACTAGAAGGGTGATATGTAGATTTAAACTGTTTATATCTTATTAAACTAAGTGAGAGTAGTTTTCTTTCACTGTGGTTCAGTTTCATTATAATACGGGAGGGTAAACTTTCGTGCTCATGATTGGCGAACAATACTTCTGAACCAAATTATGAGTCAAAACTTTTTGTGGATATGCATATACATTACGCCTGATTCCTCACTCGGAAGCCGGTTAATTGAAAACTTGGGCATACGATAAAACTTTGGCATTGTAACATCCAGTTCATTTGGTTTCTTTGATTGCAGATCCTGAAGGTATTGCAAATGCGCAAAAGTCACTTGGGCTAGGACAGGAAGAAAAAGTTCGTAAAGTTCGTTGATGCATGTCGAGGAATCTAGAGTTGAGCTATAACATTTTGTAATCTAGTTTTGAATCTGTTTAGTTCTGAAAGTTGTGTCCTAATATTGAGAAATTTGATCTCACAATTTTAACGAGTCAGGTTGGGGTTTGAATTCTTAAAGCCCTGTAAGATAATTTGGGTGCCAGGATAGTTGTTAGAATAACAGGTTTGACATAAACACAACAAATACGACCCGTTGGCCAACCTAGCCACTCATCTTATGTCTCCAATTGATCATGTGCTTTTTACAAGTAAATTTCAAGCAAAAAAAAAGGCCCGACATTGTTCCCAAAAGAGCGGTAGATTATGAGCTAGTACAGCGACAAGGCATTTTAGTTGTTGATGCACAATATCCTTTTGTATATATAAGGAGTCACACTACTCATGCAATATCCTTTCGTTGGGTTCCATTTGAAGTACAAGTGTTGCTTCATATATACAACTTGATATCACATTGGAGAATATGTCGTTTGTTAAAGATGATTGGGGCGACCTTGAAACATTGTTTAATGATCCAAATCGTCTATATTCTTATTTAAAGATCATCATAATAAGTTATATACATAACATATAATTGGTTTAAACATTTGATTATCATTACAAACATTCAACATTAAAGGAATTAATTACTATGTTAGGTAGAGATTCAATCATCTTTTATTTTGGTAGTGAGTAGTTTTTTAACAGTCGAAAATAAACTACCAAATACCACCGAAGTACCTCATCCCCACCCATCCGAACTATTTTTCATGGAGATTAAACATTTTTAAGGACAAACTTATCTTTCTATCTCACCACGTCCATGAATTTAGGCACTGATATATTTGGAATTCTCATCTTGTTCCACACCGTCAACTTGTGCTTCAAAAAGTTCTTCATCATCCAGAACAATTACATTAATACACCACTTAACAAAAATTCATATGAAATTCTCTAAAATCTAACGGCAGAAAAGTATTTGTTTGTCGTGTAAAAATAGTTTGAAAGAATAATCAATAGTCTTGTATATTGTCAATATTGTTTGTGCGTCTAAATAACATCACTCTTTATGGTTATAGGTCGAATTCAAGAATAAAAATCGAACAAGATGAAGTTGCCACGATGGATTGTTAGCAAGCAACCGATTGGTCACGAGATACTAGTGATCATGACCATCACCGCTGATGCAGAGTTAAAAATAGAAGCATACACATGACCCCAACTAAAATTTGATCCTTCCTTACTTGTTCCAGCTCAAAGTTGCTCACTCTCACAACCACGAACCGTATATTGCATGAATAGCATAATAGCCAAACCAAAAAGTCAAAACTCCCCCCCAAAAAATGGCTCTATATATATACAAAACTGCATGCACCAATTGTATAATTAGTCTCTCAGAAGTTAGGGTTCCAACTAATATATCAAAACATGAGCAGGGCTAGAAAATTCTGCGACTTGGGTTTGTTTGCAATAGTTATAGTAGTTGTGTGGCTGCAGGGTTTGAGTGGCAGAGTTTGGTCGCAGCCGCAGTCGACAGCCCCAGTGCCTGGTTTCTTCATTTTTGGTGACTCGTTGGTTGACAATGGGAACAACAATGGGATAATAACACTTTCTAGGGCAAATTATAGACCTTATGGCATCGACTTCCCTCTTGGTGTAACTGGCCGCTTCACCAATGGTAGAACCTATGTTGATGTCCTAGGTAATACATATATATATTCATTCGTATATAACAAATACGTACGTACTTCGTTTAGTTTACATCAAAATATAAGCTAATGTATGTTATATATTCCGGTGGCACTTGCACTTGCAGCTCAGCTTCTTGGATTTCGAACTTATATTCCGCCCTATTCAAGAACACGCGGAGATGCACTGCTGAGGGGAGCCAATTTTGCATCCGGTGCAGCTGGTATCCGAGAGGAAACGGGAGACAATCTAGTAAGAACACTATTTTTTTTTTTTTTTTTGAGGGAAGTAAGAACACTTTTTTACTAACCTTACAAATTGTCAAACTCAAAATTATGAATGATAAACTGAGAGAGAGATTTTGCAGGGTGCTCACATGTCCATGAACCAACAAGTTGCAAACTTTGGGAATGCAGTGCTAGAAATGAGAAGATTCTTTAGAGGAGATGCCAATGCACTCAACACCTATCTTAGCAGATGCATCTTCTATTCTGGGATGGGAAGTAATGACTATCTTAACAACTATTTTATGCCCAGCTTCTATACATCTAGCTCCGATTACACCACGCAAGCGTATGCTGCTGTACTCCTTCAGGACTACTCGCGTCAACTCACGGTAATTAACCTGGTGGATCCGTTTTCTATCTACAGTGTTCCTATAGCTTCCTACATAATTGTCCTACATTTTAACTTGGACACGAAGAAAGAGAGCAGCATTTAGCTAATGCGCCTAAACCCTAACTACAAACTGATATGATAAAACTTAATTTCAATGGGGTACGTTTACGTAGAAAACAAGTTTAATACTAAACTTATAAACTAATGTTGTTATGTATTCTTTTGGTTACAGCAATTATATTCACTGGGAGCTCGGAAGGTGATTGTAACTGCTGTTGGCCAAATCGGTTGCATACCATATCAACTAGCAAGGTTCAATAGCAGCAGCCGCTGCAACGAAAACATCAACAAGGCTATCCTTATTTTCAACTCAGGCCTCAAAAAACTGGTTGACAACTTCAATGGTGGTCAATTGCCTGGGGCCAAATTTGTCTACCTCGATGCTTATCAAAGCACCTTTGATCTGTTTCAAAATCCCACTACTAACGGTAATATCTTCTCTACTATATAAGGCCATCTCTTTCGCTTCACATCATATCAAAAATTTACGCTGCATGTGTCAAGATTTCAAAGTCGGGCCAACTAACCACTACTAACACACCGGTATTGCCCCAACTTAATCACTTGCACAACCCGATAGTGTTAGTAGCGAAACCATTCGTGTATTAGTAGCGAAACCATTCATTCATAAGCAGTAATGTACGTATTCTGTCAAATTGCCGATGTGGAGATTAACGCTGCTGCAATTTTTAAACAATGGTGCAGGGTTTGAAGTGATAGACAAGGGTTGTTGTGGAGTAGGAAGGAACAATGGGCAGATAACTTGTCTACCTCTTCAGCAAACTTGTACGGATCGCACAAAGTACTTGTTTTGGGATGCCTTCCATCCAACAGAGGTAGCAAACATTTTGCTGGGCAAGGCATCATTCAGTGGTTCCAATCAACAATCATATGCTTACCCAATCAATATTCAACAACTGGCAATGCTTTGAAAGCCAAGCCAATATAAGGCTTTTGGAACTTCATCCATGCAACAACCTCATCACTGATTAATTTCATGAATTATCAATTTCTTTGATGCTTTCCAGCTGATTGCTAATTTAATAATGTGAAAGTGTTGTCAATTCATGCGGTTATATCACCATTAGTGGAAATATATAATTGAATTATCTTCTGAAGCTAGGAAGTATTCCCTGAATTATCTTTTACAACTTTGATATATTCAATAAATGTAGTCTAGAAGATTAACTATGTTCATGTTCAATCAAATTAATAATTAGTGGAGCCCTCTTGCTAAAGTTGGTGCGGAACTCTTTACAAATCATCGTTGTCAATTGTTAATGTCTAAGTGCAATAACAATCGGATTCATAATTTTTATTTTTCTTGTTTAAAATAGTGCTTTAAGTGCTTTTGACAATGAGGAGAATTTTGAGAAGGTCATTTGTTAAAACCCAAAATTATATTTGTTAGCCTAACCGTAGGGCCCATTGACTATTTTATTGATCTCAAAATATCATGGTAAGAAATCTACCAACTCTCCAAGAGAGGTGAAACAAAAAATGAAAAACAAAAAAAGGAGGATAAATGTATAATAAATGAGAGGAGAAGGATAATCTACCACTACTAGCCAGTTCCAAAACAACAAATTAAAGTTTTAAACCAATAGTGGTAGTAGAAGTACATGCATCAACTATTTGACGTGTAACATTTTTCTGTAGCACTCGAACAACTAGTTTTTTCTGTATTACTCGAACAATTAGTAGAAACAAAATAGATAGATAGAGCCAAATGCTAAACTTGAACAACCACATTTTCTACTGGTTCCTTTCGATGTCAAGAGTGGCAAGCTGCTGTTCATGGGATAAACCTCCGTACGGTCCCCGGTGAAAGCTTTCCTCGCAATTATGATGTTCACTGCTGCGGTCGGGTGGAATGCATCCCAGAAGATATATTGGTCTCAATTTCGGCACGGTGTTTGGAGAGGAAGACATGTAACTTGGCCTCTGTTACGCCCAAGACCGCAGCATCCGCAGTTTGCAACAATGAATCCTACAAACAAAATTTCACATAATATTGTAATCGCTAATATAATTGAACTTCAATTTCAAAAAGGAATGACCTGAGGGTAAATAGTAGCAAGGAATACCATATGTTCTAGGATCGAGAAGCATGTCTTCGAACATACGAGCAATGTCAATGTAAATGAACTTTGAACCAGGTAAGTTGGTATTAAGATTGTTCATGTTGTGCTAAGATAGCACCAAACCCGTTGGAACCAACTCAAGCTAACCCACAAGAAATTTACCAAATGAAAATGCAAGAACAAAATATTAAAGACATCAAGATTTTAACGAGGTTCCTCAACAGTCAGTGTAACTGGAGTACGTCCTCGGAGCAATAGGAGCTCACCCAATAATCCACTATCAACCAAATGGGAGTTTACAAAGTGTTGGCAATCTCACAACCCAAATAACCCAATACACCCAATAACTCTCACACTCTAAAGAAACAAATAGAGAAAGAAATATAGTGATTAATTTCTTCTCTATACAAAGCTCATAGCTATTACAACAATAACACTTTGATGGAGTGAGAACTATCTAATGAAAGGAACAACAACTCATTCTCTCAAAATGGTACTGCAGCAGTACCTTCTTTCTCTCCCTCTCTTCTCTTCGGCTCACCAATTTTTCTGCTCTCTTAAAAAAACAAAAGGGCAGCAGCTCCCTCATCATAACATAGCCTTCATTCAAGTCACCCGCGACTTCCCATGGACCAAGAAAACTTTAGACAAATATCCCTTTTCTTTTCCCCAAAATAAGGAAGAGACATAATTATTTTGTCTACCTTTTTCTTTATAATTTTTTATAGTCAAAAGTTGGCCACTTGGCCACATACTCCAACAATCTCCACCTTGGCCAAGTTCCGAAAAACGCCATGATAAGCCAACCAACACAATTAACACACAACATCACTCCCAAACACTAGCAAGAGAACAACTCATGCCGAGCCAAATGCTCCAAAACTCCTACTGCTCAACGCCTTCTTTATATAGGCAAAATGTGAGCCAAGTTCAAACAGTGAACAAACTTGGCTACACCAACAACCTTAGTCAACATATCAGTGGGGTTGTCTTTAGTTGGAATCTTCTGGAGAATGATTTCCCCCTCACCAACAATTTCACGAACAAAGTGATAACGCACATCTATGTGCTTGGTCCTCGCACGATGAACCTGATACTTAGCCAAATAAATGGCACTCTGACTATCACAATGTACCTCCACCTGCTTCTGATCAACCCCCAAATCTCTAATCAGCCCATATATCCAAATGGCCTCCTTTATAGCTTCAACAACTGCCATATATTCAGCCTCTGTAGTAGACAAGGCAACAGACGACTGCAAAATGGACCTCCAACAAACTGGTCCTTTAGCCATAGTAAACACATAGCCTGTAGTAGACTTCCTTCCATCCAGATCACCTGCATAATCTGAATCAACATAACCAACTGCAAAATGACCAATACCAGAGTCATCCCTCTCAAAGCATAAACCAACATCTCGAGTACCATGGAGATACCTTAATATCCACTTAGCTGCTTGCCAATGCTCTTTACCTGGATTATGCATATATCGACTCACCATGCCAACTGCATGAGTAATATCCGGTCTAGAGCATACCATTGCATACATCAAACTACCAACCAAATTTGCATATGGTATATTTTTCATTTGCAGCTTCTCTTTATCAGTTTTAGGACATTGTAGAGAACTCAATTTAAAATGAGGAGCCAAAGGGGTACTAACCGGTTTGGTTGAATCATGAACTCCAAACTTCCGAATCAACTTCTCAAGGTGGTTTTTGATTCAAACTGACGAAACCCTTTGCTCTATCTCTAGTGATCTCCATGCCAAGGATCTTCTTCGTTTCACCAAGATCCTTCATCTCAAACTCATTCTTCATTTGCTTCTTCAATTTCTCAATCTCTTCGACATTCTTTGAGGCAATCAACATATCATCAACATATATCAATAAATAAATGAAAGACCCATCTTGCAACTTCTTGAAGTACAAACAATGATCATATTGACTTCTAGAATAATTTTGGCCTCTCATAAATTTATCAAACCTCAAATACCATTGCCTTAGAGATTGCTTCAAGCCATAAAGTGATTTCTTCAATTTGCAAAACAAATTTTCCTTCCCTTTCACTATATACCCATCCGGTTGACACATATAGATCTCTTCCTTCAAATCACCATGTAGGAAAGCCGTCTTCACATCGAGTTGCACAAGCTTAAGATCATATTGTGCAACAAGAGCAAACATAATACGAATTGAGGAGTGCTTCACAACCGGAGAAAAGATTTCATTGTAGTCAATGCCCTCCTTTTGTGCATACCCTTTAGCAACTAATCTTGCTTTAAATCTCACACTGCTTTTCTCATCAGCATCTTCCTTCTTGGCATACACCCATTTGCAACCGATAGCTTTCTTGCCCTTAGGCAATTTAGCTAACTCCCAAGTCTTGTTCTTCAAGAGAGAATTCATCTCATCACCCATGGCATTGCACCACCTCTTCTTCTCCTCACTCTCAATGGCTTCCTCGAAATTAGATGGAATCTCATCAGTGATAATAGGAAGAGCAAAAGAAACATAGTCACTATACCGAGCTGGCTTGGTAATTTGTCTCTTTCCTCTATTCTTGGCAATAGACTCTTGAGGTGAAACTTGCTCTTCAACTTGAATAGAATCTTCAAGTTCAACTTCTTCAACATCCTCATGGTCTCCAACTTCTTCACTTGTAGTGGCTTCGACATCAGCGGAAATAGGATTTGAAGTACCAGAGGCAACTTTCTCAAGCTCCACATGTTGGACATCTTTCACATTCTTCTCAGAGACTTTGTACATACTTTCTTCATCAAATGTCACATCTCTGCTGATTACAAGTTTTTTCATCTCTGGGCACCACAACCTGTAACCTTTGACACCACTACTAAAACCAAGAAAGATAGCCTTTTTGGCTCTAGGATCAAGTTTATTTTCAGTCACATGAAAATAAGCAGGTGAACCAAAAATACGGATATAGTCATAATCAGAAGAAGGTTTTTCCAGTCCATACCTCCATTGGTGTCTTACCCTGAACAGCAGCTGAGGGTAACCGGTTGATGATGTGACATGCATAATTAACTGCCTCTGCCCAAAATGACTTGCTTAAACCCGACTGAGACAACATACATCTAACCTTCTCAAGCAAGGTTCGATTCAATCTTTCTGCAACTCCATTTTGTTGTGGAGTTCCCCGAACACTGAAATGTCTCACAATTCCTTCCTCTTTGCAAACTTTAAAGAAAGGATCGGATGTGTATTCACCACCATTATCCGATCTCAAAATCTTAATCTTTCTCCCAGTCTGGTTCTCAACCATTTTCTTCCAACCCAAGAAAATGCTTAAACACCTCACTCTTGTGCTTCATAGTGTAGACCCAAGACTTTCTTGAATAATCATCAACAAAGGTCACGAACCAATGTCTACCACTCAAAGAGGGAGTCTTTGTAGGACCCCAAACATCCGAATGCACATAATCAAGAATGCCCTTCGTCTGATGTACCGCAGTACCAAACTTCACTCTAGTTTGCTTCCCCAAGACACAATGCTCGCAGAAATCAAGCTTACAAGTCGTGGCACCTTTTAGAAGACCTTTTTTCACAAGCCCTTGTAGAGCTTTCTCACCGGCATGGCCTAATCTCATATGCCACAATCTAGTAGTATCTGAATCAGATGTGCCCATATTTTCAGAGACTACAGATGCTTCACCTATCACAGTGCTTCCCTGCAATAAATACAAATGGCCACATCTAGGAGCTTTCATCACAACAAGTGCACCATAAGTAACTTTCAATGTCTGTCCATCTGAATGAAACCTGAAGCCCTTGGATTCCAAAGTACCCAAAGAAATAAGATTTTTCTTCAAATTCGGTACATACCGAACATCTGTCAACTCTTTAACCATGCCATCATGCAACTTCAAACGAACTGTACCAATCCCTTTTGTTGTGCAAGGATTGTCATCTCCCATGAACACAACGCCACCATCAAACTCTTTCAAGCTTGAAAACCAATCTTTGTGAGAAGTCATATGATGAGTACAACCCGTATCCAACACCCACTTAGTAGCACAATCAAATGAT